CTTGTCATGCCAGTCAAACGATATAAATTAACAAACTGCTTAAAAACAAAATGAAAACAGACAAAACCAAACTAAATCCACGCACTACTGTGACAACGTTAACGTCGCTGTTCTGTGTAACAACGTTTCATTTGTAGGCAGTGGTAATGGCTAAGCTTATTCATGGAACTAGGGGTTTATAGTTCCATGGCTTATTTAAGAAAATTGCACCAACCTGAACTGTGTGTCTGATGAAACCAATGAAATGACTAAAAAAAGGAAGTTAACCCGACGTTTATTTTACGAATGCCGGACGTTTCGGCCCATGGTGCTCTTCTGTAAAATAAACGATATTCGGTATTTGAAAATAGCGTTATAAGTAATGTTGCCGACGTTATTGAACCCACGCAGAAATATCTCCTAATCAGATCAAGCAAACAATGGTGGTAACATGTCGAGTCTGGACTCGTAATTAGTTTTCTTCACAATAAGTAATTGTCTGGGAGAGCACAGATAATTCTGCCACAAAAGTAGGTTATTAAATGTAAAAACTAAGCAGATAAAGATTACCCCAGACTTGCCATTACAGGTGTGATACATAAACAACTCACATATTTCTAAAAATCCAAGTAAAACACATATTTTCGCGCTAACCTGGCTTTCGCCATTTATACACCGCCATAATGTTTACAAGTCTAACTTACATCCTGTCTAAAGAGACATCGCAACGCAAAATTCAAATCACCACTACAAATGATTTCCTGTTTTGGCCCACCTGCATTATGTCATTACAATGAACCACAGTGACTCTACTATAGAGGGACTGTGCACGAACAAAGTATAAAGAAACGCAGTGTTGCCTGTCTCATTGACGCATACATATTAATTAATAAATAAATATGGCTTGTTATTATCACCCGAGACTAACAATATTGTTCCATAAAATCAGATCGAAGTAAACGAACTGACGACCAGCAGTGAATTGTTATTTTGGGCGTATATTTTCTGTTAAAACAACTGCAGGGAAAATGGATTAAAATTCCTACTCCATATTTGTGAGTAAGACGCATAAAGTCGTGTGGAATCTATAATGTGCCAGACTCCTTCATTCAAGGCTGGATTCCATGTCCCAATATATCGTGAGCGGCGCACTCTGCCACTGAACACGGGTTGGACAACTGACATACATTGTATAGTATCTGATTAGAAAAACGAAAACAGTGGAAAATTAATTCTACAACATTGGGGGCGCAAACCTTAAACACGTCAGTGTTTGTGCATTAGCAACTGAATGTAAATATATTGTAACATACAGAATGGGACAACCACACTTTTGTTACAGTTACTGTAAAAAGAAAACTTGTAACTGTCATATTTAGATTAGCATAGTAGTATAGCATATTGTTCAGCCAATCAATGCATCAGATGGCCATAGTATATCATTGTTTACAAACAGGTTTACAAACAAGCGACTACCCATGAGCCTTTGCATTTTTAGCGTGTGTTGTTGCGTCGGTTGGGACTCAATTCGAGCACGTGCGTGTGCGTGTGCGCAGGCGGCGGCAACCCTCCCACTTTAAAATAAACTAGTACAATAGTGTCATAGTCATTCAATGGATTTTTATCAATACATTTCACAATTCAAATTAAAACGAGAGGTTTATATTGGCTGATGGAATAACGTTGGAACATTTTCAAATGAGGCCATCGCACACCGCGTTCAATGATTGACTGGTTGAATTGAATTTTTTAAATGTTGATAACAATTAAGAAAATGGGTTTGTGGTCGTGATAGTACTCATTACATATGTGCACATTTACATATTGGATGTTTGAACACAATGTTAAAGAACGTTGCAAAATGCACCGACAGGTAGTGTTGTGTATCCATTCCTGCACTATTTGAAACCATCAAATAGCCCAAAACGAAGTACCAGTAAATGTGCTTTATTTTTATGTCAAAATGAACTAGTCCCACAAAAAATCTCATACTACTAGCAGTTGAAGTGCATGAGATTTGAGTCCCAAACGACGATAATGCATGCTGAAAATGCAAAAGCATTTGTTTGTATGCTATGGTAGTTTGTCGCGTAGGTGACGACTCCCTTGCTACCAGTCAATGATAACGGAAAGACAATAAAACAAAATTGTATAGGCATTCACTATTATATGATGCTTTATTTATTATGCAAAACACTCTCAAAAGTTAGACATACAATACAGTAATGTCACTTTTCCTATAACCTCTGCCACAGGTAAGGAACATTATCAGTTTCTCAACCCAATGATTATACCGTAAGTACAACATGATACTAACAATATGTACCGGTAGATCATTTTGGCTTTTGTTAAAAACGACCTACAGTACAATTAAGTAGTAGCAAATACAACTACTACTAAAGGATGGTTTTGGTTAACTTCTCAGGACACACAATTTCCATTAATTGGTTCAAATTTGAGGTCAGCGCAAATTGTGATGTTGCAGATGACCTTGTATACCACACAGACAGTGACACACGTTCTACACTGACACGCAGGATACACCGCATCACTCGTGAAAATAACTTCTATACGCAACGAAAGCCACAGGGAGGGTGTGGGGTTCTGTCATATTATTATTTTAACTATCGCTATGTTGGCTTTAGGACATACGATTACCAAACAAAAAACTGCCAGCAAAAAAAAATATTAAATTAAAATATATGAAGAATTTATAATTAAATACATATTTAAAAAACAACAAAAAGAAAAACCAAACTAGGATCTTATTTTAATCAGATTAAATTGATATTCTATTTTCAAGTACATGAAATTCAAAAACTCAATAAATACAATATCAACTGACAGTCTTCACAAAACTATGAGAAAAATCTGCATAATGAATTCCGCACGCTGACAAAGTGGCAGAATTAGGAATAGTTGAATCTGTATACGAGAAAAGATTAAAAACTGAAAATATCCATACTAAATGTTTTGAAAAAGTCATTGACTGCATGAGAACACATAATACAAACTGCTTTAAAGTTGTTACCATATTGGTATGATAAAGGGAAGTAGCTTAATTTGCCAAAAGTATAAGTATATAAAACTACATGCTGCAATATGCTATACATCATTGGATACCGACACAGATTGATGTACTGTAAAATACTTTTTTTTTTTCGCTTGGAATAAATTTTCGTTACTTTTGCTGAAGGAATGATTCAATGAAAATAAGATCTAGCGAACTTTTGTTCCTATATTTTAAATTCAACTCGTCAAAAATCAGTGAAAATAAATTCCATACAAAACAACCAAACGTCTTTTCAGCAAAAATGAATTCCAACTAAAATAAAGTATTTTACTTTATTCCATATGATCATTACCCATGTAGAACTACATGTATCAGAGACTTTGACAACTATCAGTGAACTAAACAAATCTTTTTCAATTAAGCACATATATTCAGAAACTGATCATAAATATATCTCTTGTCTCCCAAGTAATAAGGATTGGATATATATGCACGATACAAAGACACATGTCAATCTCATACTCACACCATAGCTGATACTAGCTGTACAGCTACAAACTTTTGTAAATCACGATGGTAAACCTAAACTTGTATGTATACTCATTATCAGAATGTTATATATACCGGTAATACTAATTTAAATAAATAGTATATCCACTGCAGCTTTCATCGTTGAATGTTGTTGCTAATGGTGATGATGTAACAACATTTTGCTAAAGTCACTCACATGTCGAAGCATCCCAGTAAAAAATTTGTCTTGTGAAATTAAAATATTCACAGTATTATGTGAATTCAATTTTAGAGTACTTTTTTTTAGATGAAAGGTTATAACTACAATCAGAGGTACATTACTTGTGGTTTGCAACTACGGTGACATGATACCAAGATCCCGTTTCAATCTCGCTCTCGCATAAGCGTTCCAACTCAGAAAAATGCGAATGCACATGCCCAAGGTTACTAGAATACTGGGATGTCCAGGTGGATCAAAATAGCTGCTCACGATATGGCGAATTACGATAACTATATTTTCTGTACATTTTTTGATTTATTCCATTTTTTCACTATGAATGTGGTAATACATGTTTTATTGTTTTATCACAAACCGCCTATGTCACGTCAGAAGGTAGTAGCAACAGTCTCGCTATCTACGAGATGATACTTGAATGAGATCTTGGCATGATGTCACCATACAGTACTATGTGCGTTGCAAACCCCAAGTAATGTACCTCTGCTACAATACAATTTTTGGCTACTAATCAGTCTACCAGAAATGAAAGTTTTATGAATAGACAAGTTTCGAGTTATAGAATCATCAGGAGGTTTTTATGCAAGAATGGGGGATTGATTTCTAGCTCACATAATTTACTATCTGGTTTCGGAAACCTGATAAACTATCAAAAGTTCATGCAGAGGAATCAACTCCACAACGCAGACAAAATTGGGTAATTTACACCAGAGGGCGCAAATTGCTAAGGTAACAGCGGAACTCATAACAATTAGTGCAAACCTTTAGTGTTTATGATCATCATGCTAAACATAAAATTTACTACAAATAAATATTTTAAGGGTGTATCCACTTACTATACATAAATCAGTTTGTCAAAAACAAAATATATATAATAAGTAACACGAGTGAATAAAACACATAAATGGTTTGTAAACCTATCCCACCTTTACAAATTAAAGTGTACCTTAAATTATTTCTTTTTGTTCGATATGAAAATAAGTTTCTTTTGTTATGACAAGTACAAGGTAAAACTATTATAAATATGGCTGCCTGAGACTCTGTGATTGAGGTAGAAATTGGCAGTAGCAGCATGTAACAGTTGTTGTGATGGAAAACAATGACAACACTGTAAGGTGCAGAACATATAACAGTTACACAGCAGTACAGGCAAACCAGAAATGAGAGTCATATGATTTAGTTTAAATCTGTAGTGTCTACGATCACCTTGACATAAATACAATAGTCTTTTACATAAAGGCACTTGAATAATGGTCAGTTAAATTGGTTGCGTCTACAATCACCTTGATAAACATACAGTTGTCGTTAACGTCAGTATGACGACTGCTGTCCAGTTGAGACAGAGGCATGAATAAAGGGCAGCCACTGGAAATATTCATGTTACCGATAGAATACTTAAACGATATAAATTGATTTAAATTGGTTGTATCTACAATCACCTTGATAAACATACAGTTGTCGTTAACGTCAGCATGACGACTGCTGTCCAGTTGAGATAGAGACATGAATAACAGGCAGCCGCTGGAAATATTCATGTCGCTGGTAGGATACTTGGATGGCCATATAAATTAGTTTATATCAGTAGTGTCTACGATCACCTTGATAAACATACAGTCGTCTTTTACATAAGCATGACGACTGCTGTCCAGTTGAGACAGAGGCATGAATAAAGGGCAGCCGCTGGCAATATTCATGTCACCAGTAGGACGCTTGAAGGAATTCGATGTAGGGTCTGGACGAAATGCGTCGATGACATGTTCTCGGTTGTTTTGATCCAGCAGCATGAAAGTGACCTGAAAAAGATAAAGAGATGGGAATTAAAATCAACTTTTAAGAAAACAAGAGATATCAAAGAAACAGGTACACATTTTAATTCAAAACTAATTAGGTCTGTGCGTTGTTCAAGAGCATCTATGCAAGAGCATCGTTTCCTTGGAACAGACATAAATAAATACCGTACTTCCCTGGTCGTAAGCCCCTTTCTGGGTATAAGCCCATCCCTTTGTTTTTAAGACATTTAATGAGTTGAGGGCATCCACAGGGTGTTTTTACCAGGTATCAGCAGTTGCATTAACCCTAAAATATGTATGTAAAAAGTGTTTCATTGCATTGGTATTGGCAGTGCATGGCAAACAGAGCAACATGGTTTGCACTCTTTCTGTTCTGTTATTACTTTTTGTTACCTTTTGTCTGAATGGCCATCTTAACAGTGCATCAAATGAACCCCTCATGATGACAAAGAACAGGGAGACATGGTTGCCCTTGCCCATTCCATCTCCATTCAGATATACTCGAGCACACATCTTGTAACCATGACGACTGGTGAAAAAGCATGGTGAGTAGATGGATGTAGTACGACCAGATATAGCATCATTTCTTTTACGAC